TTGAACACGAGGCAGATCTATCCTATGTCCTACAGTTACCCCCTTTTTATAGGCTGTTTTTTCGACCTAGTGTTTTTCAAAACACCGTTTTTTTCGCATAGTTTTCATTGTTCTATTTGGCCAATTACAAGTGTGCACACCCCTACTATCCCTTTCCCGGCGAATTCCATTATTCACCACACCCCAACTCGAAGTCTGGCAGCCCCATCGCATGAAAGCTTTGTAAATTTCCCTTTTGTGGTATATTTTTGTTGCCTTTGATTTATTTGACATTTTCAACCCAAACAAAGGCAATCAACAATAAAAAAAATGCTGAATAAACAACTACATTATTTTCAATAGAAAATGTGAATTTGCTTTCTTCCGAGCGGGCCAAGGATTGTTCTTAAAAAGTGAAAGCCCAACGTGGGGAACACCCACCCTGACACGGTCTCCTGCCTCGAGAACTAAGCTGGGCATTTGTGTACAGCGCATATGTATAAATATGTGCAAGTGGTTTACGGGAATATCAATATAATTTACCTCAGTGCAAGAGTTTTACTTTGTGCGATATTTGCAGGGCAGATGCGGTGTAACCTATTCGATGATTAGCACCTCTCCGCCGACTTGAACCTCATCATTGGAGAGATGGACTTCCGAAGAGTGGTAGCTTCATTGTTTGATGTCCTTGGCATGCCACGCTCCCAGGCTCTTTCCCGCAAGCGACTCTAAAAGGTACATGTTATTGCCAAGCGCTTTTGTTATTCGACACTTCGTAAACTTTTTGCAAAATTTCACGTTTATATTTTGTTTAAAATCGCTTAGTACGAAGTTGCGTTTATAAACCTCTTGGCCAGGGTTAAAACGTATCTCCCGGATTCATTTATTGTAGCGCACTGCGTTTGTCTTGTACGACTCACTCAGGTTTTCTTTTATTTTCTCGCGCATTATCTTGAGTTTATCGCTGTTATCGAGTAAGCGTAATTCATTCTCGTCCAGGCTGTTAAGCTTTCGTGCCAACGCATAATCCGTGCCATTCGTGAACATATTCATACCGAATAATGCAAAATATGGAGATACCCCAGTCGCCGAGTGTACCGCACTGCGCAGGGCGCATTCTATTTCCGTTAAATACAGACCCCAATCGCGGTGGTCTTTGTCGAGTACGACCTGATGGCGGCTAGCACCGATTGGTTGACTCTTTCAGCTGCGTTAGCTTGCTAACGTTAGCGTAATATGCCGTCTTTAGATGTTTTACGCCGTAGGCTTCCACCAATTGTGCAAATTGTTTCGATGTGAATTGTTGGCCGTTGTCGGAGTGTATGGTCCCTGGCACACCAAATTTATGATAAATCTCTTCCGTAAGGAACTTAACCACGTTTCCAGCAGTGGCGTCGCGCATTGCCTTCAAAAAGAGAAATTTAGAGAAGTGATCTACGACAATAAAAACGCAACAATTTCCGCGCTTTGACCTCGGATACTTGCCAAGAAAATCAACATATATTTTCTTCTTACTTGGCTTTGTTTCCTTGCACGTTTGGCAATTGCGTACAAAATTTCGAACCTGTACCACCATATTTGGCCAGTAATACAACCGCCGCAAGCGATGGAGTGTTTTGGCCATACCCCCGTGTGCGTTGATTTCTGGGCAGTGCGCGTTATGTATAAGAGTAGAGGTTAGTGCTTCTGGTACCCAAAGCTTCCATTCGGTCTCCTCGAGTTCTACGTTCGTGACCAAAACCTTTTTGAACACTAAACCGTCTTCTACCTTTAAATCCGGCAGCCGCACTGCGTTCGCTTCGATCGTCCTCACCAGCTCCTGATATTCTTTAGAATCGAATTCTACAGTGTCCATGCCAGCGATTGGGGAATTTGTGATTTCGTCAATACATCTCGACAGCGTGTCAGCAACTATATTATCCGCGCCTTTGCGGTGCTCAATGTTAAAATTAAATGCTTGTAGCTGTAATGACCACCTGGCTAATCGACCATTCAAATCTTTCAAGGACATCAGCCATTTCAGGCTGGCATGGTCCGTCACCACCGTAAAAGGCATTAGATCTATATAAGGGCGGAATTTCTTAACAGCCACCAGAGCTGCGAGGCATTCTTTTTCCGTGGTGCTGTACCTACACTGACAGTCGTTGAGCTTTTGCGAGAAGTATGCGATTGGCTACTCGGCACCGTCATCTTCCTTCTGGTATAGTACAGCGCCTACGCCATAATCAGACGCGTCACACTGAACCCAAAAGCGTTTGGAGAAATCTGGGTGTTTCAGTACTGGCGCACTTGTGAGCGCTCTCTTTAGACTTTTGACCGCCTCCAAAGCTTGTGTGGTCATTTCAAATTTCTGTCCCTTTTTCAATGTGTCGGTTAAAGGCGCTGCCATTGTGGCGAAATCTTTAATAAAACGCCTGTACCAACCAGCAGTGCCTAGAAAACTGCGTACTTGTTTGATCGTTTTAGGGAACGGTATGTTTTGTATAGCTTTTACCTTTTCAGGGTCAGTCTTTAGCATGCCACCACCTACAATATAACCTAGGTAAGGTAACTCTTTGAAACAAAATTTTGATTTCCTTAATCCTATTGTTAAATTTGCATCTCTCAGGCATGTCGCAACTTCGCTTAAGATCCGGATGTGCGAATCGAAGTCCGACGCTATGATCAACAGGTCATCTAAGTTTATGAAGACGTTCTATTTGAGCTTTTGTGGAATCACGCGGTCCATTAGTCGACACAACCTTTGGGCCGCGTTGCATAATCCGAACGGCATGATTACAAATTGGTATAGCACCGTAAACGCCGTATATGGTTTGCAGCTCTCCTCCAGCTCAATTTGTCAGAACGCGAATTTTAAGTCTACGCTGCTTATGAAGTGTGTGTCGTCGATACCGCTGAGTATGCCTTCGATGTTCTGCAATGGATACGCGTCCTTTATAGTCGCGGCATTTAATTTGCGGGCATCCAGGCAAAAACGATTATTTCCAGGTTTGCGGACGATTGTCGTACGATTGCTCCACGGGCTTTCACTTTCTTCAATCGCGCCCAATTCCAGCATTTTGTCAACTTCGGCATACACAATTGCTTGCATCGCTGGGGACAATGGATAGTGCCTATTTTTAATGGGGACTGCATCGTCAACCAACTTGGTGTTGTGCTTTTCCAGCTGAGTTCGTCCCAATCCGTGCTTTTCATAGGTTTTGAAAGCACTCACCACTTGCCCCAAGCGTTGTTTTTGATCCGCTGTAAGGACATACAACACGCGCCGCTCATTCCTGTCTTCTTCGGACACCATCTCTTGCTCTAACTTGGTCAAATCGATTTCATTCACAGATATCACTTATGGGGCCAAGCGGAAGGCGCGCCAGAAGTCCACCCCAAGGTAAATCTTTTGCTCTAGGTATGGGCATAAAAAAATGTAATGTTTTGTTCTACGTTTTTTTATTTCACAGGTATGGTAAGCTTGCCAAGTACATTGTGCGTACGACCGCCTGCGGTTTTTACACACGAAATGTACTTTTCAATCGGCGCGCCTATCTCTTCCACGAACTCGCGGCAGCCTCGGCCCAGAATGCTAACGGACGCCACAGTGTCTAACAAGCCGCGTGTCGATAACCCCTTTATCTCTATGTCCGCGTAAAGGCGCGGATCCTTTTGATCGGCGTTTCTAACCGACGCTACAACTTTTTGCCGCAGTGTTTTCCGCTGACGGAATCTTTCACGGGCCTTTTGTATTCTTCGCGACACTCTTCGGCGCCCCATGAGCGCGCTATCGGCGAAAATTCGTTGGCGCGTTTCGAGATATTTCCTCAGTCTTTCCTCGTAAGATGGCATACTTCCATTTCTTGTGACTACTTTATTTCCCTTTGCTGTTATTATTTTAAAAATGTTACTTTCCGTTTTGGTTTCAGATGCGTTTGCATCACGGCTCAACTCATCGTCTGGTTCTGTATTCGTTGAGGCATCTACTCGTGCGGGCTTTGTGTGGAGCGCCTTTCCCCCGTCGTAATAGCGTTCCGCACTGCGTTTCCCGCTGGATTGCAAGATGGACACTTAGGTGTTATCACGTCCGACTTTCCGCATTTAAAACAAAAAATTCGACGTTGTAGCGACATACATTCGGTGAAAACGTGGGCTTCGGTACCACAATGCTGCACGACAAATTTCTACGCCCAGCTGGCTGCTTAGCTTCGCGTTGATGGCGTATTTCCTCCACGGTGACTTGAACCTCATCACCGGGAGTAAACCGCTCTTCGCCTTCGATTGAGCTAATCTCGTTAACCTGTTGTGCGCGTTGCCCAATGCCACTACACCTTTTCCAAGAGTACTTCAGAAAGCATCAGATGTACTTCAGAATAGTCATTTGTACTTCAGAAATAGTAAAATGTACTTCAGAATAGTAAATTGTACTTCAGAAAAAGTAAAATGTAATTCAGGATAGTCAATTGTACTTCAGAAACCGTAAAAAGTATTTCAGAAACTGTAAAGTTTTCTTCAGAATAGTCATTTGTACTTCAGAAACTGTAAAAAGTATTTCAGAATAGACAATTGTACTTCAGAAACCGTAAAATGTACTTCAGAATAGTCAATTGTACTTCAGAAACC